ATATGTCTACAGATGAACGTGCAGTGGTGCTCAGATGGAGAGTCAGCCCAACTCCATAGCTTCTGGGGTTTCTAGTGAGCTGATTCCTGCTTTAGGAAACAAAGCCTATGACCCAGAGATGTCATGCAATTTCAGTGTGCAACTGAGCATGCTCTCCCTCTGTCTGCTCTTTACCTGTCCTGCAAATGAAGCCTTCACTTCCTGCTTCATCTGCAGGTGTTATCTGTGGCCACACACCCCACCTCACCATTCATCACTCATCTACCACCAAGGCCTTCACATTTAGAGAGAGGTCTGAGCTGGGCGGTGGTGGCACACGCCTTTAATCCCAGCACTCAGGAGGCAGAGCCTGGTGGATCTCTGTGAGTTCGAGGCCAGCCTGGGCTACCAAGTGAGTTCCAGGAAAGGTGCAAAGCTACACAGGGAAACCCTGTCTCAAAAAAACAAAAAAACAACAAAAAAAAAAGTAGAGAGAAGTCTGAACTGACCATAAGGGTTTCCTACCACAGAAACCCACATGGCAAATGGCCACCTGCTCTGTCACTCACGAGCACCTCAATTCCAGGAGTCATCTTTCCTCATAACAGTAGTTTCTCTGTATAGGACATCGCCCTGGAGATCTTTTTCCAAAATGGGTATTCCAAGCTCCTAGTGTTCTACAATAACGACCGGAGTAAAGCCGTCAAGAGGTAAGGGCCTGACAAGTTCCCGTTTCCAAGAAACCGATCCTAAACCCTGGGCAGAGAAATGGAGATTTCCCACCTCTAGTCTCAGGGAAAGACTTCCCAAGTCACAGCAGCAGAATTTAGGTGAGGTACAAGTAAGAGCTTCCTGACTTTTGAGACAAAGTACAAAGGAAAACAGAGGAGCCTCATCTCTGTAGGCTGAGGCAGCAGGGCCGCTGGTGACTGAGGGGAGGAGCCATGCCGACACAGGTTCTTTAAGAAGGTGGTTGTGTAATGGACCTTCTAGAACATTTTGGCTGTATTTTCTAATTTTCCAAGTCATTCTTTTTATGTGGTTTTTTTTTTTTTTTTTTTGCTTGGCTTAATCTCTCTTTTGGATTTCAATTGCCAATTCTAGTCATTCCAATCTCCGGTTTTACTGGAAAGAACTCCGAAGCACAGACTCCCACTTGCATGCCGAAGCATCCTTCCTAAGAGAAGCCTGCTGTTGTACCTCAGCTCCCTTTCTTCTCCAGATAGATGAATCCATCAGTCTAAGCAAGGCCAGCCCGCATCTGAGTCCTTAACACGTAGAGTTACTTATTTCTATTGTTGCTGAAGTTACAGAGACATGGACACAGCGGAACTAGGCAGAGAGAAGGGCAGGGTCCTGGTCACCAGCAGAGCAAACAGAGATGGGGGAGCAGGTGACCTCTGATCGCTGATCTGGGGAGCTTCCAGCTTGGCCTTTCTGGTGGCCCTGGCTGGTAAATGACCCTGGGGCCAGTTGCCATATCCAGGACTCCAGGCTGGAATGGAGGAAAATGGGTACACAGGTTTGTGTCTGCCAGAGTGACTCACTTTGGGTCAGCTGCCTCCTAAAACCCATATAGTCTGGGTGGGCTGAACAGACATGTGGTGTTCACTGTCTAATGTGCTCCTCTAGCTTCTGGGTATGAACCCAAGTTTCTTGCTGTTATCTAGAAGCCTTACACACCTCCTTTCTGCCACTCTGATGGTGTGTTTGAGACAACCAGTTTATAAGAGGACGGTTTATTTGGTGTCACGTGTTGGAGGTCCCAGTACTTGATCAGTTGGCCTCATCACTCTGGGCCTGTTGTCAACCAGTGCATCATGCTAACAGTATGTGGCAAAGACATCATTTCATGGCAAGAGCAAAAGAAGACATCTGGGGTCCCACAGTCCCCTTTGAGACTAGGCCCAACAATGACCTAAAGACCTTCATTTCATCCCATCTCCCCGAAGTCCCACCACATTCCAATAGCAGCACCCTGGGAACCAAGTCTTTCCCCAGGGTCTTTGAGGGGGCATGTAAGATTCAAATGTTAGTTGAGAGCATGGACTGAGTGTTCTAGGGGTCTTAAGATGACCTTTGAACCCACAGTGATACAAGGAATGTGTTAAAGTAGTTACCCAATTGGTCATGGAAATATAAGGTACCTAGGTCCTAAAAAGGACCTGTAAACCCTTAATGCAGTAACTATTGGTTTTTGCCATTGCTGTTATTAATGAACCTACTATGTGTGATGTCAGAGACTGCCAAAGGGGTACCTCAGAGGCACCTGAGGTCTGGTGATCAGGACTGCAGGGTAGGATGGAATGAGGGATGTGAACTAGGGGTGTAGAGCAATCTTATGGGAGGGTAGTGGCTCTGCTCATGAAACTTTCTCTTTTTGTTTAGCTTTTGCACTTTCCAACCCAGCTTGAAAGGAAAAGGCAACGCGGAGGACCCATTCAACCTAAGGTAACGTCAAGTCAGGGTGCACTCTGGCCCTGCTCTGTCTTCATCCTGCTCTGGAGCCAAGCAAAGGGCACAGCCATTTGTCTGCAAATTTCTTTCCAATCTGCATACGTCCTTCATCTTACTCCAGAAGTTTCTGCTTTCAATTTAATGGCTACAAACAGGCCTGGAGTCCCCCCTACCCCACCCCCAGGCTCTGACAGTCTCAGACCTGAATAGCAAGTATCCCCTGTTGTAGAAGGAATAACTCCAGCACAGCCTGGACCAGGTCTTCAGGAAGGGGTGTGCACCGGCCATGAGCGTTTCTGGATGTTCAGAAATTAAATCAATGCAGTCTGCACATACTTATTCAGGAAATTCAAAACTCTTCAAAATCTGAACCAGTGAGCACCAACGGGGTGTCACAAGTAGAAACATCTGTGTGTTACCTCAGGTGACACATGGGTCACAGTCCAGCCAAGCATACTAAAAATACTGCATAAAATTGTCTCCAGGCTTTGAGTAGAGGATCTATGCATTGAGCATGCTGACACGGGAGTCACACTGACTGTCAAGAGGCCAATATGAATTTCTTGGTGACAGTTACATCCCAGACCCAGCACCTTATTATATATATATATGCAAATATTTAAAATTCCCCAAATATTTAAAACCCAAGCTTTTTTGGTTCTAAGATATTGGGTAAGAGATATTCAGCATGAGTGGTGTGTGAATTAGATGGGAATGTAAAAGCCTATTGTGTGGGTCATCTTGCTGGAGAAGGGTATGTTTTCTGCCCCTAAACTTAGCACCTCCTCTGCAGGGGCCAGCTCCTTGGAGGCCAATCTAGGATCAGCAGATGTTTTTACTTCTGATGGGAGTGAGAATAGGATGGGACTGGTTTTATCCGGAAGTGTATATGGGCAAGGCAGTTGCTTTCCCAGGAATGGTACTCAGTAAATGGATGGGTCTGACCAATTTCTTCAAAATATTGATAGCTTGTGATTTGTGGTGTTTGGTGCTCAACAAAGTGACAAGCAAAACAACTTCATATTCCCTTCTACGTGTTGAGTTTATGAGGGAAAGCTTAATAAGAAAAATAAACTTGAATTAAGACTTGGTCAATGACAGAGCCACCATGCAAGAGACTGGGAAGAAACATTTCTGGGGTCAGGGGCAAAAGTGCAGCCCCACAGGCAGCTTAGCTGGTCTGGTAAAGGCTGATGCACTGGCATGCCGGGAACTATCAGGAACAGACAGGCTTAATGGTGAGTTTGTGAAGTCCTGGGGGAATCTTGAGAATGGTGCCATTTTTATGAGTAACTGGGAGGAAGGGAGGGACTTGGCTTATCTTTGAGAAGAATTACCTTGGCAATAAGGTCAGGAATAGACAATAGTAGGTCAAGGGCAAAAGTAGAGACTGGTTTGGAGCCTGCTGCAGTGAGCCAGGGGACCAGTGCTGGTCAGAGGTAGCGGGACAGTGATGTGAATGGCCAGACAGTGGACAGATGCTGAAGGTACAGGTGATGGGATCTGATGACAAGTGTGAGGTGTTTGTGAGGGAAGACTTAGAGAAGTCCTGAGTGGTTGGAAAATGAAGTGGGGATAGTCAGGAGCTGCAGTGGGGGCTGTGCTGACTGTCAGAAGCTTTGTTTGGGATGTGTGAATTTGGAGTGGACCAGGGGACATCATGTAGACCATTAGAAATGTGAACTTTTGAGTTTAAGGGGGAGATCCTGACAATATGTAATTTGGAGTAGTATTTCAAACCAAGTGAGTGAACAAGGTCAGCAGGTGAATGTGTGCATGTGGAAAAGATGTGGAGAGCTGTGCCTTGTACGCATATGGACCTTCAGAGAGGACACACATCGGGATGAGCACACTAGAGGAGGAAGAGACAGAGAACTAACTAGCCCAGGCAGCAGGTGTGGGGAAGCTCCTAGAAACCTGTTGGGTGCTACAAGGTAGGGGTGGTCAAACATTCTCAATAGGCCAAGCAGGACAAGAACTGAGATATGACCACTGACCTTGGCAACACAGAATTATTGACAGCTTCAACAGATGGCAATTCCTGCTGACAGAAGCAGGACATTAGATCCTTTGCTAACAGAGTGAGATGTCAAGGTGAGTCAGGGCACTTTTGTGGGTCATCGGTGGTAAGGCAGCTATTTGCCAACTATAACAGACATAGTTCAGTAGTTGATGACGATAAGTTCCAGTGTACAGGTCAGCTGATGTCACTCCTGGACATCTTATGTTGCTCTCATGAGGCACTTATGTCTACACTTAAGAGTTTTCAGGTCATTTCATTGTGAGTTGTAGTCAGCCACCCAAATGAATAGATAGGAGCAAAAAAGAGGCTCATCACCTCATGTGCCTGAAGACAAAACTTGAAACAAACAAACAACCCAGATCACCACCATGCGTGGCTGGCTCTCTAGGCTCTTGAAAGTCTACTGGAAGCTGTGGCTTGTACTCTAAGTGAGGACTTCCCCCTGGGGTCAGTTCTGTTCTAGGCAGGCTTTAAGAACATTTTGGCATCGATGCTCCCAGTATCTCCCAACCAACAGTCACATAGGAAGTCCACCTCATACCACACACTGTATCCAGGTAATTTTAGCAAAATAGTCACAAATTGATTTTCTCAATCTAGTTTACATGTTCATCTGAGAACCGATCGAATTATTTCATTGGTCAGATCAGGGCAGTGTGCTCTTAGAAGGGCATCTTGTGAAGCACATGATCTCATAGCTGTCTATAACTATTCTTAGGCTACTGTCCTCAGAATCTTAAAGGGCTCTTCCTCAGCAACACACCCCCTGTGTCTGTCTCAGTTTCTAGTCCAGCTGGAGAGGAAGCAGACAGAGAATGGGTAGAAGGAAGAATGTGGAAGATGAACTGGCTGTGCCAGAAGATGAACCGACCCACCACACTGGGGATCCCTACAGGGGTGGCTGTCAGGTGGTAAATGACAGTTCTCGGTGATGGGTCAAATAACTGGAAATTCCACAGTCTTCCATAGGATGATAATGACCTTGTGCTCCTCCTCACCTGTATGGAACAGCTGCTTTTAGGTCCACTGTGATGATTTTTCCCACGGTGGCAGGATCTGCCTGGATCACGCTAGGTCATGCCTGGCACAGTTCCAGCATGGGCCCAAGAATGGAGGCCCTTGTAGAAACTTTTTGTCATCTACTGGGAACGGTATCCAGTGCTCTAGAGTTGACAACAAAACTCATTTTTCAACACAATGTTCTACCATCGATGGTTTTCTGTTTATTTCCTTTATAAATTCTCTTTGAAAATAAGAAAAGACAAGGAATTTAGAGTGTCGGTGATAAGAAGCTATGAAATTCCTGTAAGATGGTGATCTTCTACAATCAGTTACAGTGCCACGGGTACACTCTTAATAGCCTGGAGCTCAATATCAAGTTCCCCTTCTTCCCACGCTTCCACCTCAGTCCCCTCCCCAGAGATCAGTGTAAATGACTAACTCAGAGGCTAGATATCTGTACTGTACACAATCATTTCAGTGAAGCTCATTCTAGCTCCCCTCTGAATGGAGCAATATGGTTCTTGGATTTCTTGATGATATGAAGCCCCGAGAAGTCCATGATGGAAGATGAAACAATTCATCCCTCTGGGCCTAGGGAACAACCATTATAACCAGAAGTAGAATAAATACTGCCACAAACTTAAAATGAGTGTGACAACCAATACTCTAGCATTCAGATGCTTCTTACACATTCCTGCAGCAACATGGGGTTGGGGAACCGATGTGTGAAGGTCCAGGAACAGTGGAAAGCAGCTTATTGGTTCATCCACCCCAGATGCTACTTGTGCTCACCTAACTCCAAGCCTAGAACATAGACACAGAAGCCATACATTTTTTCAAAAGCAAATTTCTTAGACTCTGCAAGGATGCAATCAACAGTGAGCACTTTGATATGAGGCCAGTGAGTTGAAGGTAAAGTGCTGTTTTGCTTGAAATGTCTTAACTCTGGCACAGCTGAAGAATTGCAGCTCAGGGCTTACTGGGTATGCTAGAGTCTCATGTTAACCATGTTGTAGTGACTCTTAAGTTCGTACTGGAGAGATGTACAAAGATCTGCCTCTTATTGAGTTTAGACTGTAATTTTTTTTTTAAGTTTCATTTTAAAAGTATCTATAGACTCACAGGAAGTTGCAAAACAGTGAAGTCTATATATGCCTCATTTACCCCCAACCCTCCATGGGAGCATGTGGTTTAACCACTGACTTAGTTTTAAAATCAGGACCATTCCATGTACGTTTGCATCTCTGTGATTTTTGTCATTTGTGCAGATTCATGCAAGTGCCGCCATCATCCTCATGAGCAATCATTCTATCAGTGTAAAGACAGCTCTTGCACTGCCATTTCACTCTCAGGCTCAGCCCTGCAATGCCTGCCATTCTTAGCCACTGGAAACTTCTTACTTCTGTTCACAACTTTCATTTTATTATTTAAAGACTGTCCTACAAATATAATCACAGTGTGCAGTATTTAGAGACTGGTCCTTTAAAACCTAGCATAATACATTGAGATCTGTCCAAGCTGTTGCATATTCAAATGGTACACTCTATGCATGATGTGGTACCAGAGTTTGCTCAGCTACTTGTAGATTGAAAGCCATTTGGTTGTTTCTAGTTTGGAGTCACTACAAATAAAATTGGCCATTTACATTTAGTGTAATTATTGACGTGTTAGAACACAAGCTGGCCATTTTAAGTTTTGCCTGAGCTTTCCTTGATTATCCCCATTTTCTTTTTGCTGCCTTTTTGTGCACAACCAAGGGGATAATTAAAATTTTACTTTAACTTGCCTATAGTATGTTTGAATACATTTCTCTATGTGTATATTTTATACATGTTTTTATCTCCTTCATGTACATAATTACATACATGTAATTTTTACGATTTACTGGTGATGAGATAGTACCATTTTGAATGACATGTAGAGACCTAAAGACTTTTCATTCTTAATGCAGACTTTTGAGTCTTTAATGTATATCTATAATTTTCTTAAATGTTCTCTTTACATACATGCAGAAAACCACATGAAATATCTTTCAAAGGCCTTTTCAGAAGCATGTAGCCTAGAACCAAGGGAAACAAAGTAAAATTGATAGAGCAATTCAGTAACGTGGGCAGCACCGGAGAGCCTGTCTTCCAGAATGTTCCCTGTGCCACTCTGTCTTCTAATTTGGGGCTTTTCTTCTTCAGAGTCGTTTATTTCTGTTAGCTGATGGGTCTTCGTGTTTTTGCCATAAGCTACACTAGGAGATGGATGCTGAGCTCAACCTGAGGAATGGAGACACAAGAGACTGAGGCTACTGCTCCAGGCAACCAGGGCAAAGCACAGGTCGTACTGTGATCACCCCAGGGTCACCCAGGCTTTACCTGTCTCTCAGAAACAGGGACCTCTGTCACTGTGGATGGTTTCTGTTCTACTTGAGGAAAGAGAAACCCATGACTTTGTATCAAATATTTCCAGGCTTAATGCAACTTCCAGGGAATAAATATGGCAGGCAGTGGTGTTTCATAGCAGGAAAGAGCATCAATATTGAATACGATGCAGAAGAAGAAGAAGACAGCTAAGCACTCTGTTTCCCCGTCTTTGCTCTGTCTGGTCGCCAGCATTTCCTAGCTAAAAATGGGTCTGACTGGAGTGCACACCAGACAAACCAAAGCCATCTGCTGGCTTGGTTCTCGAGCCCGATGAAGTCCAGTGTGCTGAAATCCCTTTCTGAGAGCCAGGAAAAAGGGCAAGTACAGGTAACAGCTCCAGTGGGGACAGAAAGGAAGCATCTTTTTGTATGCTAGCCAGTCAGAGGGCTGCAGGTCATGAAGTGATTTTGAGGCCCAGTGATGAGCATGCTGATATGTGGCAACTCCAGTGGGGATCAGTGAGGGAGAGGACAGCAGACAGAGCAGACAGGAGAATCCAGTCAAGACCCAGGCCCTTCCTGCCGTGGGCTATAGCTGCGATGCTTTCCTTAACTTCTCTTTGCTGTCTTCTCTGGATGCCTAGAACAGGTAGTGAGCATTCTCCAGAGGAAGTGCTTCAAGAGGAGCAGTTGAACTGGGCAGCACTCACAGATTGGCTGCTGCCCTCTAGATCATGTTTCTGTGTGGATCCTAAAATCCTAAGAGAGGAAGAGCCTACAGTCACAAGCCTGGCTCCCTAATGGACACATCCAAGATTCCACATACTAACTGTGGCACTAGAGGCTAGGATCCCTGTAGAAGTCTCCATGCTTGGAATGAAAATGGTATGTCCTGAGAGCCTTGGCTAACATTCTGAATTCACCTAAGACCTCAGAAAGGTAGAAGACACAGTGGCCAGGTGTTCCAACCAGGCACTTGTAGAAAACAGGTGTCTCATCCGAGTGCATTTTAAATCACACGTGCCATGCAGTTCCGCAAGAACGAAGCAATCATCCACATGTCTCCAGTGAGCTGAGAAGAAAATCAACACTTTGGGTTCTCACGCGGAGCACAACAGGGATAGCCAAATAGCCCTGGCCTCTGGGCCTCTCTCTCTAAGCCTCTAAGTCTTTGCATACTTGCATCAAAAGCACAAACAAATGAAAAAAACCCAAAGATTCTAGACAAGCGCTTCCAAGAAGAACTCAAGATTTGGGTTGAAAAGAGAACCACAGAAGCCTCACAAGGGGGGCCACAAACTGGCTAAAAGTCACAATAGAGGAAGAAGCAGAAGAATCAAACCCCAGTGTGAACAGATGGGATTTACTGGGGAAATAGACTGTCATTTCCAAAACATCACACACCCCCTTTTTAATCTTAGACTCTTGCCATTTAATCCGGGCTACCATCTAACTCTCAGCCATCTCCTGCCTTAGTCTCTCCAGTCATGGGACTGCAGGAGTGCTCAGTTTTTCTATTTTAACACAAGCTAGGCAGAATGTGTGTCCATGCTGACTAAAGAGATGGAAGGAAGGAAGGAAGGAAGGAAGGAAGGAGGGAGGGAGGGAGGGAGGGAGGGAGGGAGGGAGGGAGGGAAATACTAGCAGCTGTGGGGACAATTCCCATCTCAGTTTTCACCTATGGCCATTGAACCATAAATAGAAGTTTCCCATCTGAAAGACAAAACTATATGCCCTTCCTGTGTGGTCAGACAAATTCTGTCACCAGAGCTCACAACCTTAAGACCTAGTGAATTTATGAATGAATTTATTTGGAGTTTTGCCTAAGAATTGGAAGAGAGAAATTCCAAGTGTCTCTTTTCCTCACAGCAGTGTTAGAACTTGTAGGGAAGGGGAAACAGCTTGGGGGGTGGTGCCTTTAATCCAAGCACTTGGGAGGAAGAGATGGGCTGATCTCTGCTAGAAGACTGGCCCTGGTAAAGACGGAAAAAGATTAATCTAGTGAGAAGAGGACAGCACACTGTGCTGTGATCCCTGATGCTGCAGAGAAAGAAGCAGGGTAGCAGAGAGGGCATCACCAACAGCAAGCCACAGCAAAGACCGTCAGCTCACATCGTCTTGAGGCATCAGTTTCCCAGATGTTAGAGATGCAGGGCTGGACTAAAAGATGCTCAATGCTTCTCTCCCTGCCTTTCTCTGGCTATTGCTCTGGTCTACACAGTGAATTCCTGGCTTGCCCAGGCTACATCGTGAAACCCTGTCTAGGAAACTATGGCTGGTCTACATGGTGAATTCCTGCCTAGCCTAGGCTATGTGGTGAAACCCTGTCTGGGGGGAAGGAGGGGAAGAAGAAGAAAAGAGAAGAGGAAACAAAAGGCAGGAAATAGATTCATGCAGACACAGCTGTGGACCCCATCAGCAGATCTGATAAGAGTATCTTTCTCCTGAGACCAGGGTGTTTGAGTGACCATTTCTACTCCCAATAGATATATTTCCTGAAGGGATCCTTGTGCCCAGGGTCCTGCTGTAGTAATTCACATCTCAGATATGATACCATTTTTAGACGGGCTTCCGATAAATCATCTGTGATATTAAAAGAAGCCAGAGATGTCAAGAGAGGTAGCCACACTGGGGAGGATGTGATGAGTGGGCTTGGTGAGACACAGTGCTAGCGGGTATACATGTGTGCAGTCTACCTGATGACATCTGTCACAACTACTCTGAAAAGGACCCTTGAACACACTATTTTCAGCGATGCAGGGCTGCCAGGAAATAATCTAAACCATGTTACAATGTGTTCGTCATCCAGACACTCATCATAGAACTATTTCCATTAGCGCAAAACTGGGAACAACTTAAATGCCCACAGGAACGTGTAGTTATGCATATCCTGAGAACGGCTGCCTTGCAGATGTTTACAATGTTGGCTCCAAAGACCATGTGACAACATAGGTTTCAAAACAGGGTAGAAATGACATGAATGCTCTAATTATAGCCATGTGGAAATGTGCACACAGAAAAACAACTAGGAAGAAAGCATGCCACTATTATAGCTTTTTATGCCACAGAATGGTGGACCTGGTAAGCTACTCTATTTAAAGCTAGACTGTGCTTTGGTTATTTTTGTAATGAAAAATATTTAATAAGCAGGGCAAACTACAATGGGAATTTTCAATCTAGATTAGTCTGAGATTTTTAGAAGAATAATAGGAAGTGTTGCAAGCTAAGCATCATGGGATGAGCACAAGTCCTGAGGAGCTAGAAGGTGAAGGGTGGTGTCTGCTGTGGTTTACAGGGTGAAGAAGAAATGAGCTCACCCCCTGCACTGAGGCCTCCAGAGCTGGGCACTGGCTACTGCCTGCCCCCTGCACTGAGGCCTCCAGAGCTGGGAACTGGCCACTGCCTGCCCCCTGCACAGAGGCCTCCAGAGCTGGGCACTGGCCACTGCCTGCCCCCTGCACAGAGGCCTCCAGAGCTGGGCACTGGTCACCACTGCATAGCTCGCCACCCACTCAGCCAAGTCAGGGGAAAGGCCTTTGCAGGGTATCTTCCTCCATCCTTTAGTCGTGAATGGAAGGGACACAGTAGGCTTGTGGGGGACGAGGGCTTACTGTAATGGGAACGTTATTGCCACAATCGCTATTTCTTCCTGAAAAACTAGTGTGACTCCTGACTCTGCCCATGGCAGTCTTTTGGCTGTACTCTAGGCTCTCCATGGAGGGAACTGAAGTTCCATGCTGCCTAGCTCAGAAGCCCACAGGCTCTAGCATTCCATTTTCCCCAATGAGGGAAAAAGTTCCTGACCTCTAAGTCTCTCAGGTCAAAATGCTCCGACCAGCTTCTTTCAGATGGCCAATGGTACAGTACAATGGCCAGCTTGTACAATGCCAGCCAAGCTTTTCTCCATTGCATGTGGTCCCTGCATCTACCACAAGGACCTCTCTCATTTCCTAAGGGTCTCAAATGGCACTGGGCATGTTTTCAGTCAGCCAAGGGCCTTCAGAAAAGCTCCTAGAGCAACTATACAAACGTAGTTGAAAGTGCTGCTTCTGGCTATTTCCTGGCAGTGTTTAATACAGGCAATACCTGTCCATCTCCGGGCCATTTGCTCTTCTACCAACCCCTCAGAGACTGTTAGCCTATGAGGACTAGATCCAAAAAGTTCCCACGGAATGAATTCCATATTTGGGAGCTGACAATGTGTCCCCAAATGCCAGTGATAGCAAGAGTATGTTGATAGCATTAGTTCTCTGGGCCTCGGGAACTAATGAAATGAGATGGACAGATAGATGAGGGTCCTTTCTTGGTTCCCTGAGGTGCATGTAGGAAGGAAATGCAGTGTGCAGACTAGCAAGAGACAAAAAGCCCTTCAATCAACCAAACCATAGTCCGAGAGGTAGGGAATGGTGTTTTATGGCTTGGATGAAAAGGCTCCTACAGTAACACAAGAGCACTTTCCTTTGGGTCCAGATCATTGCCTGTTCCTCCCACCTTTCCCCTCCTGCCTCAGGGTCAGGGTCCCAGGTCACCTCCAATCTTCCTGGGAATCCTTGGCCATTGAGTTGGGTGAAACCAAATTGGAAAAGATGGCCTTTCTTGGTGTCGAGGGGGCCATGCTCTTGATCTTGTTCAGCTTGTCCCTGGCCTGTTGGCATTTTTGCAGGCAAGTTGTGCACAGATCCTTCTCATCGACCAGATAGAGGTTTTCCAGCCTTTTGATGGTGTCGACGAACATTTCTGACTCATCTGACTTTGGAAAGGGGTTCCTCTTTACGTTGAGCTTCTTCAGCTTGGGGAGCTTGGAGATACTGCCAGGGATGGTACTCAGCAGGTTGTCATGTAGCCCTACCTCATGGAGCTCCTTCAGTGCCCCCAGTGTGGTGGGCACACTGTCCAGGTGGTTGAGGCCAAGATTCAAGGTGCGGATGTTCTTGAGCTGGTTCAGTTCCACGGGCAGCCCATTGGTGGTCAGTCTGTTGTTACTGATGTTGAGAAAGAGCAGAGAGGTCATCTGGCCTATGGACTCAGGGAGCTTATCAATGTAGTTGCTGTGCAGGTCTAGCCATCGCAGGTTCTGAAACTTGGAGATGGAGTCGGGAATCTTCCTGATCAGATTCCGGCTAAGGTCAAGCTCATCAACCTCGTTGAGACGCAGGATACACTTGGGGAAGGTGGTGATTCCCATCTTGCTCAGATCAAGGCGTTTTTTCCCATCAAAGGTGATTTTGATGCAATTCTTGGCCACATTGAGGGTGATCTTTTTGCCCTTGGGGCCTTTCCCACCCTTAGCCATGGTCTCTTAGTATGGGAATGTATGTGAAGATGGTTTTTCTGAGTTGATGGTGATGACTCTGAGGAAGAAGTCACATAAAACTGCTAGAAGGTAAGCTCTGATAAGAACAGAAAAGACAAGTCTAGTTAGTAGAGCACACCACATCGTGCTGTGATCCATGATGGTACAGAGAGGAAGAAAAACAACCCCCAAACAAACAAACAACAACAGGGTAGCAGAGAGGAATTGGGATAGTGCAGTAGCAAAAATACCAGAAGACTTCAATAGTTCTCATCCTTTCAGATGTCAGTTTCCTGGATGTTAGAAGGGCAGTGCTGAGCTGGAGGGCCTCAGTGTTTCTCTCACTGTCTTATTCTCTGGCTATTTCCTGGGAATTAGCCTTCTGACTCCAGGTTTTGTGTGTGTGTGTGTGTGTGTGTGTGTGTATGTGTGTGTGTGTGTGTGTGTGTGTGTGTGTGTGTGTGTGTGTGTGTCTATGTGCATGTGCATGTGCATGAGTATGTTATGCTTGGCTATGTGCTACTTTCCCAGACTTTTCACATTATAGAGTCTCCTTAGCATTGTCAAAAGACCATCCTGGGGAGGCTGTGGAGGTGGGGGGTGGGGTGGGGGAGGGGGGTTGCTGCTGTTAGAGGCGGCAGAAGCCTGGAAGGGAGGAAATAGTGAGTGTTAAAAATGACTATTATATCCTTTTCACATTTAGGACCCAGGAGAGCTAGCAGGCCTTGGTTACTGTAACTACAGAGTGATGAGAGCAGTACTGGGCCTGGGGAGCCAGGGTTTATCTTCACAGCAGCATCCAGAATTCCATTCCTCTCCCTAGGCATGGAGGCTGCCAGGGTGGGGCTGCCAAAGCTTCTAGAGAACGTTCTTTCAACGCCACTGCTCCACAGCCTCCCCCCCCCCCCGACAGTCAACTGTGGATTGCTCTGTATAAATAGGTATAGTTACAGGTACACAGAGCCCTAGAATGTAGAGGGTGACCAGAATGAAGATTCTGGCCTCAGCATGCTTGTCTTAGAAGTCTAGTTCAGCAGCTAGCAGTTTTCTTTAACTCTCTGCCTCAGTTTCCCTGTTTGTGAAAACAGTCCCTTTACAGAGCTGGTAGGGGATATAGATGGTCTAATACTGCATAGCACTCCTAATACTGGTTCTCAAACATTAATTACTAAGTACACACAGTGTTTCTGCTCTTCAACAGTCTCACAAGACCCAGTGCTGTTCCTGCTGTCCAGAGCGGGAGACTGATGTTTGAAAGTGAGGAAAGCCCACAGCTAGAGGCAGGCTCTATGTAGTCAGGCATGGAGCAGCACATCCACAGATAATCCACAGTCTGAACAAAAAATGAAAACAAGTCAAAACCTGTGGCACGAAAGCAAAACTGTGATTTAAGGCAACCCTGGAACTTTATAGTCACATATTAGGAAGGAAAATGGGGACTGGAGGGACTACTCAGCCCTTAAGAGCACTTTCTGCTCTTGTAGCTGATAAGTTCAGTTCCCAGTACCCACCTTTGGTCAGTTCACAACCACCTGTAATTCTAGCTCCCGGGAATCTAGTGCCCTCTTCTGGCCTCTGGGGACACTACACTGAGGTGCACACGACATACACATATGCACATAATTTAAAATTCAAGTCTTTTCTTTTAAAAGAAATGGAATGCCTCCCTGACTCCAGGTGTATGAATAAGACAGGCGTTTGACTGTACCTATCAGTATTACATTGGAAATTCTAGGGAGTAAAATAATGCAAGAAAATAAAGGGTGTACTGTTAGAAAAGATTGGAGAAAAGATGTCTATATGCTCAGGTGACCTGATTGTCCACATAGAGACTATCATGAAATTTTTAGGATGTTCCTTAAACTGATAACTGAACTTAGCAAGACTGTAGTAAGCCAGGTTAAGACACAGCTGCTCTGCCAGATGTCTACATATTAGCAAGGAACAAGCAAAAGCTAAAACTTGAAAAAAAAATACTCTCAAAAGGAAAACGCTTTCCTATTTCAGATATATACTAATGAGGACTTCTATGATGGAAATTATGAAATAAATAACAAGGAAAATATCTAAACAAAGGGGAAAACATAGCACACCTAAGTTAGAAAACCCAACACAGTTAAGCTGTTTCTGCTGAAAGTGGTCAAAATAACATGATCCCACCTGAACTTTCAGCAAGATTATATACACATATATATGTATATGTGGATTCTATATTTCATGTTTATATGCATAAAGATTTCTAAAATTTTGAAATGTTTAAATGTTGAAAGATAAAACCACTAGGAATAACGAACAAATTTGAAAAAGGGAAAAAATTGGAGGAAGATTCATGTATAATAATTTTAAAATTTCCCATGTAATTAACATGGGCTATCAGCAGAGGGACAGATACGATACATAGACTAATGGGACAGAAAACACTGTCCAGAAAATAGATCTGCACAAATGTAGTCAACAAAGTCAGTCGATTTCTGACAAAACTTCAGAAGAAAAACAAACTTTTCAATAAATGGTGTTGGATAGTTGGTCATTCATACATTAAAAAAATGAAATTAAATAAACCATTAACAACTTAATGAAAATAACTACTATTAACAACATAAATGGATCATGGATCTGAATGTAAGCTATAAAACTTTTAAAAGAAATTGGAGAAAATTTCATGACCTATAGTTTGGCAAAAGTACATTCCTCTAAAAGATAATATTAAACAAAAAATAATGGGCTTGAAAAATTAAAAAACTTGCTCTGTGGACAAACCATTATGCATGGAAAGCAAGATAAACCAGAGAATGGAGGGAAATACGTGTAAGCGACACAGGCAAAAATGTCTGGAATCCAGAATAGAGGAAGAAGGTCTATAGTGAAAAGAAACATAAAACCAATAGTACAAAGACAGAGTGGGGCTGTGCAACCAACCACCTTGTGGAATGCACAGTAGGCGGCCCCTGAAACAGTTCGGCTGTTTCTTATAAAATTAACCATCATAGGATGTTTCATTCTCATCATAAGATGTTTCATCTTCCCCAGCAGGTATTTAGGAAAAGAAAAGCTCATGTTCATATGAAAGCTTATTCCTGTGTTTATCAGTTCCCCATTCATAACTGCCCCACAGGGGAAGGTACATCCTTCAGTGGACGGATTCCTTACACTAGAATAATGCTGAGCATAAGGGGTGGTTATGTTCCTTATCTCTCTCTGATTGTTATGTTTTGCGTGTGTGTTTTGAAATGTCATACCTTATCCTACAAATATGTACAGTTATAATGTATCAGTGAAAAATAAAAATGCATTTCAAATATTTATAAAGAAATGTTTGTAAAAAGAACATATTTACTCATATGTACAATAACCTAAGTGACTCCTAAGAGCACACTGCTGCCTGGAAGAAGCCATTGGAATGGTCTGCATGATGAATGAATCCATTTATATAGCTGCAGGAAACAGATCCACCAGGGCAGGAACTATGGGCTAGGGACACTGGGTTACAGGAAGCAGTGTGGCTGAGTTTTCTGGGGATGGTGGAGCTACCTGGACCCTGCTCTGGGGACAGTTACATGAGTCTGTATATATTTGAAGCTCAGAGGCTAGCATCCCCAAAGGGGAAATGCTATTGTAGCTACATTTTAAACTCAAAAACTAATTGGAACTCCATGGTCAATCTCTGTGAATTTCTCTCTGCCTGCATAGTCAGACTAGGCTGAACATCTAGGACATTGTGTGTATCCGCAACAGTCCTATTCTGTCCCTTAAAGAGCAGGCAGGTGTGCACATCTGGACCTTGCTGTGAACATGGGCAAGAGGTGTTCATGGGAGGCATGTCAGAGAAATGGTTCTGTACTTGAGTTCACCAAAAAGATGAATTCAGCTCAGGAAAGCCTATATACTCATGATCTTTTTTCCATGCTTCTCCGTGGTAGAGCGCCAAGACATAGCAAATAGAATGGAGATCACTAGTGAAACTTGAGTTTCAGATAAACAAAAGATAGAGTTAATTCGAACATCTCAAATCCTGTGTAGGCCTGTATTTTACTTGGCAGACATAGCCTGGGGCCTGAACAAGTAGTGTATAAAATTGTCTTTGTCTAAGGGCCTTCTTAGTCCTTTGAGACTGCTTTAATCCAAGTCCCTTTGCTTATTCTTGCCTGAATCCATCTGTTTACTCACTGATTGAGTGTACTGGGGCCTGCCTGGTGTCAAGCATGTGAACAACACACATTGTAAATGAGCTCACACCCTAGTTTAAATAGCTAAAATCCAGACGGTCACTAATTTTGGCCACCAGACTGCCCTGCATATTCAAAGGCTGGCTGCCATTTTGTTTTTTTCTATTTAAGATAAATTTAAGCATGAGTAAGAGGGCTCCTGGACAAGACAGGATGATCCAGCAGACTGGGATCCAGCCAAGCCAGCTGAACCTGCCCCCACAGCCCACCCATGCCGTGGGAAGAAGTCCTCCCAGGTCTGCGTAGTGGGGGCAAGGGAGCCACAAGGGGCTGGCTATAGAACATTGTTCCATTAAGGAGCCTCTCTCCAATGGGCCCTTTGGCTCTGAGCCTGCCCATTAATCAACTTAAGGCAGAGTAGGGGGCTGACTGGCCTAATGCACTTCGCCACCTCCCTAGTGAGTCTGGATCCCCAGACAGATCAAACCAGGTGGGAACAGGAGGAGCCCCCCGCCCAACCCCCTTTCTTAATGCTCTCCTCAAGGCCACCATTCCCTGGCTGGGATCATCAGTTGTAGAAGGCCCAGTGTGCTGTGCTAATCAGAGACCCTTCTCATCCTGAGGCTGCTTAGTACCGCTGGAATTGGGCAGTGCCATGAGCTCAGTTTCAGAGGCAGAGAAATCAGGGACCTCTCCCCCGTCACTCTGCTGTTTAAGGCCAGGGCCAGCCACCCATGGAGCAGGAGAGGGAGTAGTGACAGTAGAAGAGTACAACAGATGATCTTTCTGTATAATCAAAACATTAAACAGATTGTTCTTATTAGTTCGTGAAGCCTTCAAATATCCTAGTGTGGCCAATCCACACAACGAAGAAAATACATGCATACAACAGATAGACAGACGGGCTATGGATGAGGGACCTGTGGATGGA